GATGTCTCGGAAATTGTGCCAATTTTAACTCCTTGTAGCAGTGTATGAAATTGTTCCTCACTCATTCTGGCGCCCCATTCCTGGGCCTATACACAGTCTTCATTTTTGTTTGTTCATTTCAATAATTTTATTGACATTTAATTCTTAAACTATATAATTCAACAGTTCAATCATATTAAGAAATGTTGTACAACCATAAAACAACCAATTAGGGAACATTTTCTTGGTTCTTATACTCATCATTGTTAGCTCCCCATTTCCCACTAACCTCCCTTGCCACACCCCCAAGAAACCATTAATCCAGTTACTGTCTCTATAGATTTACCTATCCTGGCTTTCATATACAGGGACAAAATTTTAAGAAAAAAACCTGACAGCAATGAAAAATTAAAATAGAGAAAATCATCACTTGAAAAGGATGCAGAAAATATTAAAATCTAAAATAAATTTTAAATGGATCAAAAGGAAGAGCAAATGATACTGTGGTAAATTTTAACCTAACGGCATCTGCCTTAACCACTTTCCAATGCAGCCTGTTTGATAGGAAAGCAACTCTCATCCCTGGTCTGTGGTCAGAGAGTCTTTACCAGAGGCTTAATGCACATGTACTTCCCTTTTTCTTTTTTTTTAGGAAACAATTTTTAAAATGTGTCAAAAAATATATCAAGTGATAAGATACTACATTTTAACTGAACCATCAAGTTCTCCTCAGGAGAAAGACAGGACTTTCTATCTATGTATCTACCAATTATTTAGACAATCAATTAGAAGAGATCCATACTTGTGCCCTTTCCAACGAAAGGTGACCCAAAAGAAAGCTGAAAGCATAGAACAGTATAATTGATATCTCACACAAGTACATGTTTGCTTCAGATCATTCAACAATGGTTGCAGCAGTATGTTGACAGAGAACTACCAGAAATTCAGGCCAGATTCAGAAGAGAATGTGAAACTAGAAATATTGCTGATGTCTAATGGATCTTGGTTCAAAACAGGGAATACCAGGAAGATGTTTCCTTGTGTTTCATTGACTATACAAAGGCATTCGATTGTGTGGAGAGTATTAAACTCTGGATTACTTTGAGAAGAATGGGAATTCCAGAACACTTCATTGTGATCATGTTGAACTTGTGCATGTATCAAGAGGCATTTGTGGGAACAGAACAAGGGAATACTGCATGGTTTAAATCAGAAAAGGTGTGCATCAAGGTTGTATTCTCTCACCATACTTGTTCAATCAGAGCTGAGAAAATCATCAGAGAAGCTGAATTATATGAAGAACATGGCATCAGGATTGGAGGAAGGCTTATGGTATGCAACTGACACAACCCCGCTTGCTGCAAGTGATGACTCAAAGCACTTGCTGATGAAGATTCAGGATTGTAGACTTCAATATGGATTACAACTCAAAGTAAGGAAGACCAAAATCTTCACAAATGGACCAGTAAGAAACATGATAAATGGAGAAAAGGTTGAAGTTGTCAAGGATTTTGTCTTGGATTCAATGCTCATGGAAGCAGCAGTCAGAAGATCAAAGATGTAGTCCATTAGGTAAATCTGCTGCACAAGACCTCTTTTAGAGAATTGAAGAGCAAGGATGTTACTTTGAGGACTAAAGTGTGCTGAACCCAAGCCATGATATTTTCCATTGCCTCATATGCATATGAAAGTTAGACATTGAATAAGGAAGACTGGAGAAGGATCAATGCATTTGAATTGTGGTGCTAGAGAAGAATATTGAAAATACCATGCTACAAAAAGGACAAAC